TGTGTGTGTGTGTGTGTGTGTGTGATGTTATATATATACTAACACAAAATACACACACACGCCACACACATATATAGAGATAGATAGATGGATAGATATAGATATAGAATATACACTAACAGACCGTGTAATAATGGAAAGTTGCTAGTCAGTGTAAAGTGTCGTTTAAACATCGCTACTTTTATTCGCCTTGAACAAGCTTCTTAATTCGCTTGTGAATTCGCTGGTTCAAAGCTAGCGACTAAATCACGAATTCGCAGTCTGGTGCGGCGATAAATTTCAACATTTCAAGCATTAACGGCTCGCGTCTATCGTTTCCATAGCGAATAGATGACTAGTTCATATGACGATGATAGCGTGTGTGGGCGCATGCGCTTTGCTGCTGGTTCAATGTCTAGGTTTCTTTTGTATTAAAGGACGCATCTTCATCCACAGCTCTTCAAGTTTTAACGCGGGTCAGCCTCAATACTCTCCGGTACGTAGCTGCCTCCATGATTAATGGACCTCCTTGTTGTAATAAGGATAATTTGCTTCGGTGTGTCCCAAAACTGGAGTAGGAGACATTGGTTTCTACTTACCTTTTCGGCCCTTCAATTTCCGACGGTCAGGAACTTGATACCTCCTGCGACTTTGCCTATATTCTTAAAGAGCAAATTCCAATACATCTAAAAAATGACTAATTTTGATAAATAAATTTGCGTTTTTTAAACAATATGGCAAAATGCAGCTAGGTGTAATCGAGGAGAAGGAGAAGGTCTTTGTCAATTCTTTTCAGTGACCAGTGTATAATCATGCTCCGACCTAACCATAAGTGTCTGCTTATGGCTTTGTCAACTATTTTAGAAGAAAACATCATTTATCAAGGTATCACTTTATCATAGTGATTAGTGACTATGGGTTTGAGGAATTTTAAAAGTTAAAATCCAACATACAATTTGTATCATCATTTCTTCACATTACCAAATATCTTAACTGAAACTGGCGTGATTTTGTGCCCCGGGATCTACATCAGTGTCACAACGCACTGGAAAGATGGTGTGTATCTATAGAGGAATCATGCAGGATTTGCTTGCTGCCTCTTGACAGCCAGGCACACATATGACACACACTGTTCATCATACGATTTTGTTGTTATTTTTCATTCGCGCCTCTAAAGGGAAGGTTGTCTATATTTTCATTCCTTTTCCTGCCATTACTCTGTATGAATACTTGGGAAGAAAGAAGTGAAATACTTGAAAATTTGGTTTTCGGAATTGAGATAACGATGCCATATTGTCCCCACGGTCATTACAGGGTTCGGATTAATTTCTGACAACTTCCTCTGAGGCAGTGCCTTAAAAGTTTTTTTTTTTTAATGTTCGCTGAATTTCTTAATTTACCTATGTATTGTGTTTGAAGGATAATGTACTAAAATTTGTAACCTGATTGCATTGCATAAGTGAATAGAAAAAATGGATTTTGTTTCATTAAGTTCATTCTGTTAAGTAACTCCTGACATTAACTGAACAGTTCTACAAAGATCAAAATTCCTTTTAAATTTCGACGCAAAATATATCATACTTATTTTTTAAATATCGAAAGAGTGATGATAATTGCTTTTGCGAGGGAGTAACGTATTGCGTAAATATCGAGGTAAATGATTAACGATTTTGTGCAAGTAAAGGTAAAGGTAACACAATTATATTCAAAGTGCAATACACCCTCCATTGCATCTACATATGAATGTGTATAAATGTATAAGTATATATACATATATATATACTTTTTATATACATATATATACTTATATATATACATATATATACTTATACATCTATTGTCAAAAATATGCTCAAGGCGAGGTGATACCCTCTTTGGCACTAGGCCCGGCAGCAGTCTTCCTCCTTCAGCGGACGCAGGTGCTTACTCTACTTTCTCTTTTACACTTCTACGGCCTAAACAGGCAGAGGCCCTTGCAAGGAATAGCTGCATAATAGGACGTCTTGTCAGGCAGCAGAGGCAGAACAAGAGGCAGAAGCAGAACAAGAGGAGAGTTGACAGCAGATGACGTCTCCTTAGTCAACAGTCAACTCCACCCTCAGCACCGGGTTTTCACATACACCTTCCCCAACCAGGACCCTTTCATTCCACCGCTCTATAATCCAACCTATATATATATATAATATATATATATATATATATATATATAATATAATATATATATATATGTGTGTGTGTGTGTGGTGTGTGTGTGTGTGTGTGTGTGTGTGTGTGTGTGTGTGTGTGTGTGTGTGTGTGTGTGTATGGTGTGTGTGTGTGTGTATGCAGTAGGTCATTGAGTAAAAATCTTCACACGAAGAATTACATTATAATCACCTCTTCTCACGGGTGACTTGCGTAAACATAACCTCCTTGGCGGAGATAATAAAGATAATGATAATAATAGTTACCCATATTACATGATGCAGTGATTAAAAAAATCCTGGATCCGGATCACCACCAAATTTAATGGCATCTAGGT